CGTCATAAAAATACAATGGCGCGCAACAGACGGATGCCTCCAGCGTGCGGATGGATTACTCGCGTTTGTCACGCGACAAGTGACAAGCGACAACTAAAAAGCTTTTTTGTGCGCTTGTTACGCGACATTTCAGGCATTTTAATTCAAGAAAACGTGCAAATTAATTCGCATTCATCGCATATTTTTATATTTTGCTTACTAGCGCCATCTGATGAGTTTTTTTTAAGATAAAATAAGAATTTTAGGAAGAGAAAAGTCTTTCAACACGTAGCACGCGTTAAAACACATGATAAACAAACAGTGTGAGAGGAAATCTGATGACACGCGACCCACACACAAGAATGAGTGTGCTTTTTGTGCTTTTATCAAGAAAGGAAGCGACAAATGGGATTGTGTGCGCAGAAGGTGCCAAAAAATGGCACCTGTATTGTTATTTTAGGATTTATCTATCTCTAGGCCGGAGCCGCAACCGCGTGTAGATTTGTTTAGTCGGGTAAGACGTTAGCGGCTTAGCAAACCCTTGGAAACCCTTAGGAAATCCTAAGAAAGCGCAGCGGCGGCTCTAATGCGTTGATGTGTGCCGTAAGCGCATTGTCGGCAGCCTGAACAAACACACAAAAAGCACAAATAACAAATAATAGAACAAAATAATTATCAAAATACCAAAAAATAAATAAAAATTAAATTTTTAGTGTGTAACGCCATCTATCAAGGTAATTGTAGTACACATAAAACTTTAGGCTTTAAAACAATTATAATTCACTGCCATGTTGCACAAAGTGAAATAAAACGAAGGTAAAGACGAAGCGACGCGCGAAAATGTTAACAGGCGTTAAAACACGGCGAAAACGACGCGATGTTAACTCGCCTATAAGGACCATAAGGAAGTAACAAGCAGCAGCAACAGTGCACAGAAGTGGTTTGGTGTAAATTATCACCTTTGGTATCTGGGCGCTATCTTTTTTTGGGCAACTCGACTCGTGCAATTTTTGCGCGCCGGCAATAAAGAGTTTAATGAAGCCCGGTAGTTGCTGATTTTCGAGCTGAAAGAAGAGTTGTAAAAAATAATTGCTGCCGTTCTTCTTCGGGGGCTTCTGAGTTGCGTGCAGCGCATAATCGAGTTGCGACTTATTTAACCAACGGGTTTTTATTTTATTGCGCTGCGCGCGAAAAATTGTTTAATATGCAGCAATCAGTTTTTATGACGTGCTGGTTTACATACTTTAAACAAGATTATTAAACACCTTGAAGGATGGGATTTTGAAAGTATAAATATGACGTGCAACTGAAGTTGATGATTGAAATTGACAACTTTGGTTGCTTAAAATTTTAATTTTTAATGTTTTGAATCGTTGTGTTTGTTTTGTGTGTTTTAAAGTGAAGTGGTAACGTGCAACTAAAGTTGATGACTGAAATTGGCAATTTTGGTTGCTTGGTGTATCATTGCTAAAAAAAAATCAATTTTTAAAGTTTTGAAGCGAATTGTTTGTTTTGTGCGTTTTAAAGGTAAGTGGTGACATGCAACTAAAGTTGATGACTCAAAATTTAATTCTTTTGATCAACAACTTTGGTTGCATGTAATAATTTGGCTTTAAAATGCACAAATTTTAATTTTTAGCGTTTTGTTCGTTTTGTGCATTTTCCATTCGGGATTATTTGCATTTAATTCAAGAAACGACGCGTCCAACCCATGAACGAATAACAAAACAAGCAAAAAAACAACCAGAATGTTTGTTGCTTCTTCTATTTCCACGTCTACTTTTGCTTCTTCGCGTCTCTCATTTCTCTTATTTCCTCATTTGTTTCGTTTTGTGCGCTGCACAAAACGTTTCCTTGAATAGGCAACGAAAACAAACAGTTGTGCTCGCTGCGACTGTGCGTTCGGAAAGAGGAAAAAATGCGGAAAGAGGAAAACGGCGAGCTGGAACGAAATGCAAAACGCAGCGGAGGGACTCTTGGCATTGTGTGTGGCAAAACGACAGACACAATAAAAATGCAAATTCTCCGATGCGATGCGATTCTATTTCGAATACGCTGCAAACAAAACAAAACCTAACCTAAAAGATATGCAACCAAATATACATACATTTAAAAAATCGTTTAAAATTTAGCATATAATAAATAATTAATCGCCAGAAGTGAAACTGTCGTCCGATCATATTTTATATATCGCCAGGTATTAAATTAAGTCTTATTGCTCTGCACTCTGCGCGCAATAAGCGTATATATCGAACATAAAACATATTTAATGCCGAGGTGTGTTTCGAGTTGTAACGCTCCAGTTTTGCTTGATGAATATGTCCCATGGGTGTATTAGTCGCTAGAAATTTCCTCACTGCAGACAGTTAGCATTTATAAATGCTAATACCAATATACTTAATAGAAAACGACACCTAGCCAACGCACCAGCAACGTTATTATTGCTTATTATAATGCCTGGTTATTATAATTTCGCCGCGGGCCGAGTTGTAATTGGAAAATTGGAATTAACGTTATGAGTTACACACGAGGCACTAATATTAATGGTGTTGTTGCCGTTCATACACGCGGAGAGAGAAGTAAAAGTTTTGTTGGGCTTTTTACGACCTGGTTATCTGCACGAAAAACAATGAAAAAACTATCATTTTCGGCTGATTTTAGTGCAATGGGTTTATATTATTCCTGGCGCTGGTGATTCGGATGTGTCCCCCTCGTGCTTAAGTATGATTGATGCGTTTTTATTGCGTCGGATTAAGACAGTTAGTAAATTTAGTTCCAGGATGGCGCGCACTCGTCCGTCGTCGTCGAAAGTTTAATTCGTTTAGTCATTTAGTCGGACGTCGTGCGGCTAAATGACTAAATGTTTATTGTTTTAGTGCACGCGTCGCATGCGTCATTGTTTTGACTTGGGATCTATATGATCCTTTATAGATTTATCTGGTTTGTTTTTGTTTATCGCGATTTTATCGTCTCTGACCGTAATTAAATTGGACCCAGGGGATTCATAGTGTGGTAATAGATAATAGATAAGAAAAGCTATTTTATTTACTGTGGGGTTGTTTAATTGATCTGAGAGGAATAAAACACCCTGTATAAATCTGTTTTTTGGCATTGGCCGCAGGCATTCCCCGTTGAGCACTCTGGATACTCTCGACACTTGCTATGCTATAGGGTTGTGTGTGGTGTGATGTGGTTAATGGCGAATGTCACTGGCCACTGGACGTTCCGAACACTCGCTCTTCCCCTGCACACACTTCTCCTCCTGTAAAGGTGGAGTGGAGTGTGGTCCAGGCCGGGCGATGCTGTTGGTAATTCCTCGGCTTTGAAACAACGCAACTCCACTCGAAACTAACAAACTCTGTGGACGTCCTAGTATCAAGGAGACATTTTCGTGTGTCCTGTGGTTTCGTCAGGACCAGAGCACAATATCTCACTTTAAACATACTCTGAATTTACTGAGTTTCACTTCGTTTATTTTTTTTTAATGATATTTTGAGGTTATAACTCTGATTGTTTACTACTAGAGAAGAAGAAGTACCGCAATGAGAACGACGTGTATCAGACTTGAGAATCACAAGGTGCCCACGCGATATTAAACAAGTTTATAAATATGGACGAAAGCACACCCAGCTTCTCGGCGTCGATTTACGCTCAATACGAAGACGATAACGTCGATTGCCCCGAACTTCGGAGGAACTAGAGTTACATTTGCTTGCCGACGATTACGCCCCGATTACACGTACCGACCCGCGTGTCACGTGTAATCGCCGCGTGTGCATACGCGCGCGCAATCGCGCTCGGCGATCTCGTAAAATAAATTAAGGTAATTAAGAGAATCATGTCGCGAGATTCCGCATTAATGATACGTTAGCGGCGGCGACGCGGCCCCGCAGAGATGTCGAGATGCATCTCTCGCTCGTTAATTACGCGCGCAGATGAGATGCGCACTAAACTGCGAGCTGCTTCGGAAGCATGTGAAGTGCCACGCGCAAACAGTGGTAAAATATGTGTTAAAACATTTCAAAGTGTATAAAATGAATGGGTTTTTGTGTGTTTTTTTGCTCCACCCATTCCGCAAAATCTGTTGGTAAGCGCATAACTCAACAACGCTTAGATCAATTTGGCCAATTCTTTTTTTAAAATGTTTGTTAAAGTCCAAGGATGGTTTTTACGGCGAGAAAAATTGGAATAATTGCCGGGAAAACCCTAAAGAAAGCCATTTTCTATAAGATAAAAGTTGGCATTGAGATTCAATCATAGTTATAGTTAAATAGTTGAATCCGAGATGGCGCGCTGAAGTGCATTATTTGCAACTCTTTATATAATTAATTTTTTTAAATAAAATTGCGAATCTTATTGATAGAATTGACACATACTATGTCTAGAACAAGAGAGTAAAAACGATTTACCTACATTTTTATTAAACACTTTTAACAAAACTTTTATTTAACGCTAGTACACCAATAAAAAGCGTCAGTAACATACGCATGCGCAGTGTATTTAAAATTTTAAAATATACGGTTATGAATAGTCACATAATGAAAGAAGATTTTTTCTCAGGCGTTGAACAATAAAGCTCGTTTCAAAACCTTTCGCTTCACAGCGAGATTAATGAGTAAATTAACCGGCTGCGCGCTTATCGCTGCGTTATTTTTTAACGTGCACAATTGGCGATTGTTTTGATTAATTTCCCGACACACGCGAGTCGCTTTCATCACCACGCGCTGTAAATGGGTAAAATTCGCATCGTATCTCACATGTCGGATACCCATCGGTCATACCTTTATGTGCGGTTATACCAACCATCAACACCTCAAACGCATTCATAACGGAATCGAAAAACATGAAATCTGTGAGAAGCTCACAGAAAAAATATCTGTATATGAAACGTGAAAAACGTCCGACACGCAATAAACGCATTTGATTTAATTCGCCGCGCACGAAATGGTAGAAAATAAAAAATGTTTTCAATCAAGCGATGAATTTCCGCCATTTCATGATTGTGATGATTTTTGTTTCAGATCTTGAACTGGAAAATCCCGAAGCAACAAAACCATCAACACCTACAGACGTTGATGATTCCTTAATGTTGAATATGGAATCGCCGATATTTTTGGCTGAGCCAAAAGACGCGTATATTGTAAAAAATCGCCCGGCGACTTTGCACTGCCGCACTGCGCACGTGCTGCGCGTGCATTTCAAGTGCAACGGTGTCAAAAGTCTTGACACCAAAACCATAGACTTTGTCGAACCGATGCGCGGCGTGCGTATCATCGAAGCCGAGGCGAATGTCACGCGCGACATGGTCGAGGAGTTCTTCGGCAAGGAAAAGTTCAAGTGCGAGTGTCATGCGTGGAGTGGTCGTGGCGAAATCAAGAGTTCAGCTGCCACTGTTGAAGTTGCCTGTAAGTACATTTTTTCTCTCTATTGATTTGAGTGAAAATAGTCGGTGTCATAATTTCACCGACTAATTGTGATTTATTCGCCGTTTCGCGATTGCATAATTTAGATAAAACCAAATCCCACTTAGCGGGACGACGCGATATAATAAACCATTATAAACAACACTTCTGTTCGCGCGGCCGGAGCATTTTCTTCGCTCCGGTAAGGCAACAACGAGTTATTGTTCTCGGTACTGCTGTGCGCGCGCGCGGGCGCGCATTGTATGAGTAAATTGTGTCCATAATGGTGAAACGGTGTCGGGAATGATAAGCCACGTTTCCACGTCGAACACGGAAACTATGAACCCGTTAAACTTGAAACAACCGAAACAAAATTTGAGTCGCAAGTGATTTTCAAGTCGGCGCAGCAGATATCACTATCGGTAACCAGGCGTGAACGGCGGCGGCGCAGCACAATTCGTGTCGCGCGAGTTGTTGGAAACTTTGGAGTCATATTGTTTGCCTTTAATAAAATCCAAATCTCTATTCCATCCAGCACCCACCAGATGACAGAGAGTTAAGTTTCGTTATTTTGCATTTCGGAGGGTTTTCAGCCAGATTTCACCAGAAGTGAACTCTTGCATAAACCATTTAACATGTACGTTTATTTGCTATCTGCTTGCCGCCTCGAGTCCTAAATAGCAAATGATGATGTGCAATGCGAACACGTTGTATGAGTTTTGAGTTTTCGTGCTGCTCTGGAGAGAGGGGGAGCAGTTATGCATTAAACATAGATGAAAATGAACGCTAGATGAAAATTCGGTGTATGTGCGGGGAGAGCCTTCTGGCTCTGGCTCCAGTTTCAATTTTGCTTTTGTTCCCCTTGTTTTGGTAGTTTCGGCGGTTCCAAAACTCGGGCGTTACACGCTCGGACGAGTGTTAAACGGTTAAATGGCGAGTGCGACGCGATAGCATCGAGGATGTCCTTTTAAAAGGTGGGAATACACACTGCAGTGGTGAAATCTCGTGTGTTCAGCTCGTTTTCGCGTATTTTCCTATCTGCAGGCGCGTATCTGAGAGGCGCGCATAGTCGGGAGTGTCGTTAGCGCGATACTCACGGGCGCCCAGGAGCGTTAAAGAGGAAGTAAGGAAGTAAAAGAGCAAGGAATCCGCTTTTATGGACGTTGGAAGCAACAGGCCAGAACATTAAATCGATTTAGATAATAAAATAAAAGAAACGTGCTTCTTCAAGTGTGCAAGAACCTGATTAGAAGATGACCAAGTCTTTTTTTTTCTTGAAAATTTTTAAAATTCAGCATTTTTATTATCAAGTTGAATCTAGTCAGGTATTAAATTTCCTGCTTCCTACTCTATTCATGGCTAGATGATTGTATAGTCTTTGCATGCGAAGCGTCCACGATTGTTGATTGCCGATTGTCGATATTGATAAGTCAGCCCCGTTAATTTATGCGCCATCGTATTCTTCCTTATTCAATTCGCGTGCATGTGGTGGCACCGCTGTTTCAATCTGTTTACACGCATTCAATGCACCTTTCCATTCTGCATATTCATTCACCACACTTGTATTCATATCTATGATTGAAATCTGCATTACAATGTGTTCAAACACCAAGCGTCCAAAATCTGGACTTCCAAAGGTGTGAGCCTGAAACTGGTCGTCTAAGGACGCCGTCGAGCAAATCAACTGGCATATCATCTCCTCATTATGCCATTGAGACCGCTATTAGTCTCTTAGTCTGAGGGATTCATTCACCAATAGGAATTGGGAATCAGGAAGTGAGCCCTGGCGATACATACGCATTGAACATGTTGGTTAGCTGGCGCACATCACATGATTATTAATGAGTTTGCAACGCATCCGCGCGCGGCGCGCTATCAGTGGTGTATTGCTGATGTATCAAGTGCAAACCTATTAGGGGTAATTTAGCCTCCCTCAGCACCCTCGAGCCATGCGCGTCCATTTAGAGTGAATCCTAGGTGTCTCCCTGAACCCCCAAAGACCCCAAGGTGATATCCTGTTGCTTTGGAATGCTATTCGGCTGAGTGACTGACTGACGGTTTACGCTTTACGCCTACAAGTGACGTTTGATGTGCGGGTCGTAATCAAATAAGAGAAATATTCAAATATTCCGGACTTTGGAAACATTCCAACGGCTGAATTCCATTGGGGCACACATTAAACATCAAATACTTACATAAATCCATCCATCATGATAGTTGCAGTAGTGGCGGAAACAAATAATGTTCGACATCATGTAATATCTATAAAGTTGCACAGCTCGCGGGCAATTTTCGCGCAAGAAAGTTGAAAGTTGAAGTTATGCAGCACAAGTTGCACATGCAGCACCTTGAACTTCACTTTACACAACTTTGCATTCTATTCTATTGTATACTATACTGGGTCTTCATGTAGTATGAAGTATGTAGGTGTTGGTAAGATCACTATCTCTACTTCAACTACATTTGTTGAGTTGAGTTGTAGAGTTGTAGAGTTGTCGAGACGAGATAACGTCTTGTCTACAGACCCGCCGCATGTCCGACGCTTGTTCATAATGCCAATATATCTGGTAATATGCACGTGTCAAACAAGACAAGACGATTCGAGTAAATGGCAAATACTCACTTTGCAACACTTCACACTGATGCATTGTGAATTATTCAGCCAACAGTTAATAACCGCGTTGACAAGAGAACAGATCATAGATCAATACATCATTTCTTGGTGATGACAGGAATAAACGCTATCTGTAACATGTTTTGCATATGAAATATGAAAAATTAATTTTTGTAAAAATTATAATGCGCCTCGTAAAGCTGCTTTCGAGGGTAATAAATCCGTGGAAAAATTGGATTTCCAAGTGCGCACCCTCACTTCATCCACTTTTCTCTCCGGTGGTATAATGCGAAATAAGATTGCGTTCTCTGCGCCGCCGGACCATCATATTCATCCATTCATATTACATCTTGTATTTTATTCGCGGCATTCACGAAAAGTGCAGCGTGCAGAAATTCCATGAAAAGGGATTTTTGTACGGCTCGACATTATCTGTATTAGAAACCTCGTGGGATGATGCACGATGCGGCGTAATCTCGCCATCGTACAAAACACACAACAAACAAGCGCGTCCGTTGTTGTAGGTTGGCGGATGCAAGAGAAAAACGCACGCCGATCGGTGTTGGCCGATAGAGGGTCACGACTTGCACTTTTTTTCTTCCAACTGCTGATGCTTTTTTTGCACGTATCGTGAAGATCGTGTTAGAATGTGTTAAACATCTTCATTGTTTCATTTTGTTGTAAATCGTGTAGCGCCATCTTTCGGGTAATTTAAAAATTGCGTCATGTGGTTGAATTTTATTGCGGCAATATTTATTAATACCTAGACATGAGATATGTTATCTTATTGATCGGATCTTTGAAAAATTTGACGGGACAGCTCTAGTTCTAGCCATAAAGTCTTAAGTCGCATTGAGGATGTGTATAGTGTATGGAGAAAACATAAAAGTCCGCCGGTTCTCGCATCTCGAGGCTGAGACAACGCGCGAGCGGAGAGCGTAATGAGAATTCTGCCCACACGCTTCTTGCGGCTTTGACATTATCTTAATCCGTAACTATTCGAGACGCGCGGCGCGCAGTTTTTACCTGCCTGGCTTGCGAATGTTTACATCTCTAAACCATAGAAAAACATTAAATGCGGAGTGTAAGCATTAATTTCAATCGTGTTTAGTTAAAATTGAATTTTTTGCAATTTTTGATTTACCCTGTATAATTGCATGTTTTTCACATGCACATGCTTGTATATCGTTTGTTATCTAAATGTAGATTAAGACCCGCGTCGCCCGTCAGTGCTTTCACGATGGGAAATGATTAATTAATCATTTTCTTGTTTGGCGATGGCGTTTTTTTTTTGTTTACTGCGTCTCGCCAGGATGAAGCTTTTAATTTGAAAATTGCTCGTGCAGCAGCAGCAGCGAGAGCGTTGTGCGCGTCTTCGCCGGCAAGCCGTGAGACGTCGCGCGCCGAGAAAAGTGATCAAGTGTGCGAGCATACATTATGCCAGAGTAATTGCGATTTTATTAAAACGAAATCTATTATGCACGATAAACGACTATGCACACTAACGATACAATTGAAAATTTGAATTATTACGCTCGTATTTTGCATACCAGGGGTTTAAACACCAATGCAAGCGTTGAAAAAATAAATATTTTTTTCTGGATGCAATTTGGGTTGTGCTATAATACCTAATGCGGGATGATGACACGTTTTGTGCGCGGCGTAACAATTTCTAAGGACGTCGCAGACGTCTGAAGGATCAAAACGCGTCGCGGGGGCGTAAGAAGTATGCACGAGGGAAAATAGCTAACATAAGACGAATGCTTAGGATACCAGCGTAAAAAATGTGACAAAAGCTGTCAAAAATACGGACAAAATGCAGGGTGGAAGCGCAAAAAATCCTAAAAACGTTGCCACGGTTATGCTCGACGGATAAAAATGGAAAAAGCGTCGCGACGCTGCACAGGACACTTCCCAGACGTGCGAAATGCATGGAAAGCAAGCGAAAGTCTAAGAAACAAGCGCGAATAATGCGAAATAAACGCAAAAAACGCTGTAAATCCTCTGAAAGAGTGCGAAATGAAAGGGATGGCGGAAATAAAAGGTGACAAATGCATGCAGCGTCGGCCGACAAAAAGGGCAATTCATTATCCGCGCACCAAACCGAACTATTCCTATCACTACCTTGCCAGCGGACAAATGAGCGTCGGCGAAGGGCGATGATAACTCATCGACGCGACATCAACGCGACAACAACGAATGTTTTATGGATTATTTTTCATCGAGCACAGGAAACTGTTTTTAAAAACTAGGTTTATTTAAATATTAACTTAACGTCTAGAAAAAGTCAATATCTGATAAGATAATAATACATTTTCATATATCACATAAAGTATAAAATTTAATTTAATCATTTTACTATTTCTAAATTATTTTTTATTTTCGTGAA